CCCCAAAACCCCAAAACCCCAAAACCCCAAAACCCCAAAACCCCAAAACCCCAGACTTTTAAAAGTTTATAGAAAATTATAAAATGGAAAATTTTCGTGGAAGAATGGCCAAACCTGAGAAGGATTTGGCACATCAAGAATCTAGTCTGATATATACGTTCTACCTTGAGCTGCCCTTTCAATGGGAGAGGATTGAAGATAAGAAATATGTACGTTTGTAGCCAACTTTGGGTACATTTTTATAAAGAGATCGATAGAATCAAAGAGAAAATTAGTTATTGCTTTGTTGTGGTTCCATTAAAAACTATCAGGAATTGCATTAATTCTCAATTCTTATCTCTGGGTCTTAATGAGAACGAATGAGTGTAATAGAAACATTATTTTTACTAAATCTAGCTATATTTTCCAGAAATTTCTTTATTAAATATTTTGCTCTAAACTTTGAGGTTAAACTTAGTCATACTAAACTAAATAACTAAATAGGATAATGAGAATGTGATTATAAAGAGATGGCTCAGGTTTAGATTCTCTGGATGTTATGGAATTGGTCTCTTTGTAGCTTTCCAAGATAATAAATAAACTTAATGCTTTAAAGACATTACAAAATTCTCATTCAAACCAGAACAGAGTTTTAAGAATCGAGTCATATGAGCCAACGAAGTTCTATTTGCAAAGACGCTACATGAATGAGATCATAAGGATACTCCCGACTGTCACCCAGTGTTTATTCTTGTCATCTTTCAAGTTTTCCCAGAAGCAACTGGCAAACATTTTTTTGAACATTTCTACTGTCAAAAAGGTAACTTTCTTTGAATGCTTCTTTGAGCCTGTTTCTATCACACCAAAGCTTAGAAATCAATACCTAGAAACTATCTCTTTTGAAGAATGAAAAGACTTGGAAGGAAGAGACATCACTTTTGAAGATCACCCCCAAAGAAGCTTGTTGGCGAGATTAACCTCGAGAGCTGAAGAGCCAGATCCATCTGTCCTAAGTACAATCTTACAGATGATTAGTTCTTCTTCCCTTAGTGAATCTCTTTATCGACTTGTGCTCAAGAGCGATTGCACTAAGAATGAAATAGAGAAGCTGATGAAGAGGCTAATAAAGAAGCATAAGCTTCAAAGAATCTTCATTCAGTGATATTATTGTCAAGAGGACGGAACTATGGGGTACGACCCAATATGCTTTCCAAGACCAGATCGTTTAATAAACGATCCAAACTTTCCACAACCAAACCAACAATGAATATGCTTCTAACTCTAAAATATTATCTTTTCATCAGAAAATATCTACCCCGGGGTTTTGGGGTTTTGGGGTTTTGGGGTTTTGGGG